GGGTACAGACGTTTCCACTGACAATTCAATACCGTTGATCAAAGGTACAGAAAATGTAATTTTTCTAGTTTCAAAGGACACTACAGCTTGGGAAGTCACCAAAGTTTGGCGGCTTTTTATTTCGCTAACTTTTCCTCTGAAACTAGGCGACCTCCATCTCCTAGAATCACAAATTATATCTCGACTTCTAATGAAAAAAGAAGAATCTGTTATACTCTCCCCCCCCACATAAAACAAGATAAAAGAACGAACTTTTAAACGATACCAACAACTCCACATGCCCAAAATCTGACGCGAGCTCCTGATTTCACACAATGTCATGACACATTTATTCGCTACTTCAGAATTACTAAATTCTATCTGCTCAGTTCCCACTTGACGTTAAATAGTTATACGGGGTGCCCACTACGGATGGGATCGGCAGATGGGGCCGATCGCCCGACTCTATCGCCTCAAAACTGAATGTTTTTTTGGTAAGTTTTTCGGCGCTCGCAACTGCATAAAGTCATATTATGAGCGCGCCAGACACATTTAAACATTTTCAGTTGGTAGGAAATTTTGACTTTTGCCCAGGTGGCGGCCGAAGCCTACTTTTATCGATTTTGGACCACCAAGAGATTTTTAACGTGCACAACTGGCACACATGAGCTCTGACATTTTTCGCCATTATCCGAGGAGGCTGGGTGTAGATCTTTCCTACCATAAGATCAGGGGTGTAGCTGTAAGATAGCAGTAAGGATTCGAGGAGCCAAGCAAGGAGTTGCTAGTAGAAGGGCTGCAGAAAGAGTCAGGAGCCCAGAGGAGGGGGCAAAGGAGGTGAGGGGGTGGGGGCGAAAGCAGACGACAGAACATTGCTAGAGAGCAGGGAAGGATGTGAAAGGAGAACATTTTTAGAGAAGAAAATCTTCCGTCGCTATCTGGATTCGAACCCGGGACTCATTAAATGAGAGGCAAATATCTTAACCTCTAGACCACGAGAGCCACCAAAGTGAATGTAAAGCAAGGAGCTATTGTTGAAAGTGAAGAAAACAAAATGCATGGTAATATAAAAAAGGAAGCAAATTCTATGTGTAATTTCATCATAAGCGAAGGCGAAAAGATCAAACACATTATCCTTTTATTATATTTAAACAAAAAAGACTAATCTACACGATTTTAAAAATAAGCAACTTAAAAAAGACATTCACGGGTTTTGAAATGAAAGTTTCAAGAAAATGAGCCCAATCATAATATCTCAATGATAACCATACAAATTCTAAAAGGTTATGATCCGTGGCAAGCCCGTATATTATATTCATTTGTGAATGCTGGACAATCATTAAGAAAATGAAAGTAGAACCTATAGAAGCAACATGATCATGTGGTTTCTTAGGGTAGCCTATAGTTGAGAATTTCTTGGAAAAGATAGAAATCAAATGAGATACCGTTGTAGTTGTAGCATACACTTGAAGAAACGTGAGGCAGCGTGGTGGAATCAGGCTCTCGTCAATTTTTGGGCATGTAGAGTTATTGGTATCACCCTAAAGCTTGTTCACTTGTCTTTATTAGGATTTTAAATGAATCGGTTTATTTTAAATACAAATCGAGATATTTGAGAATGAAGGAGGTGGGGGTCACCTGTTTTCAGAGGTAAAATTAATTTAAAAAATGGCCACCAAAGATTAGTCATTTCCTTAGCTTAAGAGTCGGTGGTAACTGAAAATGTACATCTTTTGTGCCTTTAATCAACGTTTTTCAGTAAAATCAACACAGAAATGAGTTCTTTAATGGGCATTAAAGGTATTGAGCTAAAAATAATAAATTAATTTGATAAAAATTTACAAACCTGCGGAAAAATTCAAGTTTCTTCATTTTGATTTTGATTATTTTGACGAGAGCCTGATTCCACCACGCTGCCTCACTGTTACTGTCCCACCTGGGTGTTGGCCTGTCGGTGATAAAAACTGTGCGGAAAAGGCAGTTATATAATATATATATTTTTTTAATTGCGTTTTCGGAAACCTGAATAGACAGTATAAATATAGGGCCTTGAACACCTAGCTCTCACTGGTGAAATTGAAGGCAAACGAGGTCCGGGTAGACCTAGACTTTCTCAGGACTGAGAAGGCCTAGGGTAGACCATAAATAAGGAGAAGTTTGAAAGTCTAAACGAGTGGGTGGGTGATAGGGAAACCACAGGATGACGTCTTTTTTTCCCTTTTCTTTATTTTTTTTTTTAAGCCCGAGAGCTAATAAGAAATGAATGGTGAACCATGATCACCATAGATGTACACTATAGGCACCTAGGAGGTAACTCTATATTATGATGATCACAGATGTCTGTCGCAGATCTGCCTCTTGATGAATGAATGAGGCCTGTCTAGCTATGATACAGGTGTGAAGGGGAATATAATCTAGGCCTATAACTTTTCAGTGTAAGCTTACATTATGGGCGTAGCCTATTGTAGGCCTAGCCTACAGGTCAACACAGCGACGATGTATGAGAGAGTGTGTGTTTGAGTGTGAGTGTAAGCGTGGGCGTGCATGTGTGTGTGTTTGTGTGTGTGTGTGTGTGTGTGTGTGTGTGTA